TTTCTAATTTTAAGTATACAATAATTAAATAAAATGTGTTAAAACTTAGAGGAAGACAAGTTCAAAATGTGGTGTTTAAAAAGACAAGGGACCGTGTTTTGCACGGGGTGCACACTAGTCTATACTTATAGGAGGATCCAAAGAATGGGTCGTGAACAGTAAACCGACCACCAACAATGTGCCGTGAACAATGATTAAATTAAATCAAATGTACTAAAACTTAGAGCTTCCTCTATGTATAAAGGAGTAAATACGATTTCTAAATTAAATGTATTAAAACTTGGATCCCCCTTCAAGTATAGAGGAGTAGATATGATTTCTAATTTTAAGTATATAATAATTAAATTGAATATATTAAAACTTAGACGGAGGTAAATTCAAAATGTAATACTTAAAAAAAAACAGAGAGTCGTGCACGGGGTGCACACTAGTAGATATATTGAATCAAGAATCACTCATACAATGATATCACAGTTCATGATGCCGGAATGCAATAAATCCTTAAAAAATCGGTGCAATCAATTAAACATAGTAAGTCAATAAAAAGCAGTTTACATAGTTAAACTATCTATTGAAATTAATTCCTTTTGTTAGTCATGTCCGTTCTCTTTATTTTGCTCCCCCATACAATAAAGAAGAAGCACGGAGCAAGCGCACGCTTGAGAACTCATGCAAAAAGTTATTGGGCTCGGCGTATCGTGTACAACTGTCTCTTCCTAGGGAATGGTGTTAAACGTACACGGGTTAGCAAGTTGCTATAGAAAATGGCAAAAACATTCGGTTACGAAAAGGCCCAATTGCTGGGCTCGTCCCCATATTCACAGGCTACACCACAGCCCAGCCCAAATTCCTAGGAGATCCGGAATATGAGGCCTGAAAAATAGTAAGAGCAAAGGTGGGAAACAAGAGGATTAATACTCATTTTAGATGGTCTCATCCCATGAGAATAATGTAGCTCAATTTCAACCAAATGAATAATAAAGGAGGAGAGAGAAATCCTTATAGCTACACCTGACTGGGATAATGCCTTTATATAAGAGAATTCCCTCTTATAACATAAAAATATAAATTAAAAACAAATTCTCTCATATGACAAATGACACTCATTTTAACTTTTACATGAACACTAAATTTATGACCATAAAAGTTTATTCATGCAAATTTGATGTTAATATAAAATATAAGAATCACTTAATTTTATGTAGAAAGGATATAATAGTGTGTAATTCAAAAATAATATGAACAACAACTACTACTACTGCTGCTGCTTTTCATTCTTTCTAAGAAGTTCTAGTAACCAATGTCACATGCATCATGCATGCGTAGTTACGCAAGATAAATAACTATAAGAAAAGTGTATAAATGTGATTATGGGATTATAAATACAACACATTATGTTTACTAAAAGTGTTTCTCATATTTTGAAAAATAGTGTGATTTTGAAAAGGGAAATTGACTCTTGAGCATGAAAGTGATCATATATGCCTACATGCTCAACAGCTATGCCTACGTATGAAATATAAGTTCAATATTATGCTTGAAATAGCATGCTCAAATGTCGATGTCGAGCCTCAGTGGACTCCTTTAGTGACACTCATCACCAAACCTTCCCACTTAGCTATAACGCGTATTTGAGTTGGAGGTTGGTAGAGTTAACTAATGAGTCAACCAACCCCATATATAACCTCAAAACCTAAAACCAATAAAATACAAACCACAACGACGACAGATCACGCTAATTAAAGTCAAGATAAACCACTATCCGCGTTCTCTCTCCTCACATTTTCCTTCATTTCACACTCCTTTATCGCAACCTGTCCTCAGATTTCTATACGCGTAGCAAAAAGGAATGTTGCACTGCCAACGTTCCGCTAGTGCTCAGATTGCGACAACCACATTGCTTCGGAGCGCTATAAATGCCACAACATGTCACTCCATTTGCAAGGTGTATCAGACTTAATTAACACTCTCTCCGCGCATCAAAAGATGGCTAGTATGAAACTTGTCGCTTTTGCCTTCGTTCTCTTGATCACGATTAATCTCTCTGCCGCCCGGTTGCCTTTCTTTCATAATAGCGGGCGGGGCGGCGGCGGCGGAGGCCAAGGTGGAGGTGGGGGTGGAGGAACTGGTTCTGGTTCTGGCTCTGGTATGGTCGCGGTAGCGGATACGGAGAAGGCGGCGGTGACGTGGAGGGGGTACGCGGCGCGGAGGTGGCGGAGGAGGAGGCGGTGGCGGCGGACACGGTGGCGGATCCGGGTATGGATCTGGCAGCGGGTACGGGTCGGCGTTCTGGTTACGGTGAGGGGGGAGGCCGTGGAGGTGGCGGTGGCGGACGAGAGGCGGCGGCGGCGGAGGAGTGGCAGCGGTATAGGGGGCGGTTCGGGCTACGGTTCCGGAAGCGGTCGGGTTACGGTGAAGGAGGCGGCCACGGCGGCGGAGGGTACGGAAGGGCGGAGGAGGTGGTGGAGGAGGTGGTGGAGGCAGTGGTGGTGGTTCGGGTCAGGGGTCGGGCTATGGAGCCGGGTATGGGTCCGGTGGGGTGATGATTACCCGTAGATAGGTAGACATATGTATACATGCTGCATTAGAATGGGTAGGACTATGCATTATATGCTAAGTACTGAGAATTATGAACGTGTCTGAAGTCAGGTCATTATATGTGTTACTTGGGCATGTAGCACCAAGAGAATAAAGTTTGTAACTTTGTTATGATATGTTTACTTGGATATATTGGAGATTGGTAACGTGGTATATTATGAAAATAATCGTGTATAACTCGTACGTTCTATACGTTACATGGTTAATTTCCAGCAAGTTCTTTTTCTTTCTCTACTTGAATAATAATGTGACAAACATTTCAGTCTAAACAGAAAAACATAAAAAACAAAAGAACGTAGAAAATTTAGAGCATTAGCTGCTCCGTCTTAAGCTTTTTCTCTGCTGATATATACTGTCTTTTTAATTACATGTCCTCGTGTAGTTTTTAAGACTTTATGTTATAATCTTATAACCATGAGCAGAGCCAAAACTTTTATCTAGCATGTCATATAATAAACTTGCAAAGCATGACACATTTTAATTTCATTTTTACTCATTAGGTTCGTTAAGTACTTTTACTAGTACAAAATGGAAAGGAAATTATTGCTTTGAAGTATCATAACATAGATGTGAAGAAGTTCTTTATTAATGGACTGTAGATTGGTAAGTGAGTTCATTTCAGAATTTTGTATTATTAAAAAGTAACAGAGAGGTTACTGTTTTTAATCACGACCATCTATATATTATTGATCGAGCACTATTTTGCCTCCTCTCCGCTATGCTTAGCACTAGTTAATTACGATCCCTTTTAGTGTACTGCTCCCATTTAAAATTTTCACTTAAAGCAGAATCATAAGCATTGACTAGCAAAACAACAAATAATTATCATTAAAGATAATGATCGATCTTTCTACTACTTAGTTCAATATAAAGGATCCAAATCATCTATCTACCCTTTAAAAGAGGGAGTACTAGAAAAACTTTCCCTATCCCAAATTGTCATTCAACTTTTGTAAATATAACAAAGTTAATTTGGATCTAATTAATGGGCAAATTTATGAGGTGTTTTTCATTATTATTAAGAATTTATAAAATGAGTTATAAAATCAAAAGCCTTCACACCCAATAAATTCCAACTAATTGTCACAAGTTATGAGTTTTTTTACTTAAGAATTAATGGAAAATTTTGTTACGAAATGAAGAGGCTAAATATAGCATGGAACAGTGAGAACATTTCGGATTCTAGGACTCTGAAAAGGTTTCCGAAAGTAGCCTAACAACATGCCCGCTTGTTGTGGAAAAACTCGGTTCGTCTTCTTCTACAACGAAGGATGTGTTTCATGCATTGAGATTGAACAACATTCTTAGATGTTAGATTGATGCCAAAAGCAGTAAGGTATCTTTATTAGCTAAGAAAAGAAATTATTTTTCCCTCAAAATTTTTATGCTGATATTGAATTACCTATACATCTTCTTTTTGTTGAAGAGAATTATGGGGAATTGCACAGGAATGCTAGACTCAACTGATTGTGCCTCCCGTTTTGTTTGAAGAGAGCTGCTCGAGCAAGTCAATCCCCCTCCATCTCCCTCCCTCTTCCTTCTCTCTCCTCTCCCCTATCGCTTGCTCGAGCAAGTCAATCCCCCTCCATCTCCCTCCCTCTTCCTTCTCTCTCCTCTCCCCTATCGCTAAAGATAAAATTTTACCAAACCCCCTATGTCTTTTCTCTAATTTTCGGTTAGTCCATTCTGAGACTCTCCTTTGATTTCACCAAACAAAAGGTTCTGAAAGCACCGTCTACGACGTGAGGCTCAATGGCCGGAGAGTTACCATCAAAAAACCTGTCCTTTCCTCTTCAGACGACCTCGACAAGTTCCACAGAGAACTTCAACTATGGTGGTAAGAAAGTTTACACTCCTTTAGGTGCAGGTTTTCGCTTAAAGTTGGGATTTTGGGAGTGCCCATGTTGACCAATATGGATAATTTTGATGTTGGTTTTTTTTAGCGTGAATTGAAGTGGATCATCCTTGATTGGCTAAGTTGGTTGTTGCTCATGCGAGGCCTCCAAATTATTTGTTTTTCTTTGAGTTTTATGAGTGAGAGAATTTGGCAGAGAGATTGCATGTTGAGGAGTGGAGCCCTGAGATTGATGAAGAACTCGTGATTACTTATGATCTCGGTATATTCTTTCGTATAATGTGTTGTATATGACTATTTACCAAAAATATCCTGTGAGATCAAATTAGACATTGCACTATTTGTTTTGTACTAAATTGTTTGTTATTATTTCAGCTGATACACAAGTTTATTATGCTCGAGTTCTATTTCTATTGATATAGTTACATCCTTAATTGCCTTCTCTTTGATGTTCAATGTGTTCTGTTATTATTTGAAACTTTATAAACATAAAAAACATATTTTTATTTTTCTGATACAGAATCAAGGTTTTGATGTGTCATTGTCAGATGCCAGTAGTGTTTTTGATTCCATAAAGGTGATAAGCTTTCAACTCCTATGTATTCTTTTTTTTTTTTTTGCTACTTTTCCATTTAGTGAAGAGGTATAACTTAAACCATTATTTCCTCAGTCGCTTAGTCAAAGTGATGGAAGATGGCGATATGATTCTAGCAGTGCTGAATCCAGCACTTATGTTGCTAGTACTGAAATCTTTTACCTTTCTTGGTATCTATGTTGAAAATAACTTAACACTAGATGCTATATTTACCAGTTTATATCTTTTGTAATTATTGCTTCACTTTGATTGGCTGAAAATCGTCTCATGTTAATGTTGTAACTTCTAAGTATAACTACTGTTGTGCCTGATCAAACTGATCACTTTTCATGTTTGTACGGTTGCAGGGACAACACTTGAAACACTTGCAGGAGTGGTTTCCCTGGTAGATCCAGAGGTGGATCAATCAAGGGTAAGACTTACATTACCAATGTTTATTTTTTAAATTGTATGATTGTGTTATGATTAGGTTTGAGTAACTATTTGATATCAGAATGATCGTTCATAATTTTTACTCCTATTTAAAAATTAAGGAGAATATCTCTTACTTTTGCTTATAATTACACTTCGTAGGTTAGATGCATTTCTATCCCACTGAACTTTATTTTGCTTAAATGTAAGACTCATTGGCTTTAGGTTAGTATGGCAATGTGATTCTATGTTAATCTTTCATGGCCATTTGAAAGTGAAAATTCTTTATTTTACTCAAGCTCTAAGTCTTCTTGCAAAGTTGCAAGCTTACAATACATCTTGCTAATCCATAATACTCTGAAGCATTATCACTAAGAAAGCAATACTTCATCCAAGTTGTGTGAGATAGGAATGCGACATGCGATTGAGTGCCAAATTGAGTGATGAATTTTTTTTCATAGGTAAAGAATATTTCACTGATTATCAGGTGTACAAGGGTACTTAGGCACTCCAAAGTATAACAAAAGTAGGCTTCCAACAGCAAGAAAAAACATCACAATGTTGCATGAGAGACCAATATACAAATATAAGTTAGTGTCATTTAAAATCACCAAGTTTGCAGGCCATCAAGTGTTTTCGTCAAAAATTGGTTTTGTTGAGGAATTCATTATATCTTCAGTCGATTACAACAAATTCAAAGGAATAGTCTTTTTATAAGACCTTTTCTACACAACAAAGCAAAAATTACAACTTTTGAGAAAATAACATAAAAATCGTCTATCGATTCTTGTTTTTGTGGGACTTTGCCTGTGCCGGGAACGCTTTGGTTCGTGGATCGCCGAATCACAGATCGTGAAGGGGGTTTAATGATTCTTCCTTCGTTTATCGAAGTGAGAATTTGAAACGATATCTTATCAAAGTAAGATAGTAGTTCTTCTTGAAATCAAGTCAAAGCTCGAATCTCAAGGGAATCACACCAAGAACTCAAGTCTGCTCTCTCTCCGCTCTGAATTGCTCGAAAATATGCTCGATAATCAGCCTCTCCTGTAATGACCCTAGGGGGTATTTATAGCCTCCAGGAGAAGTTCAAGTAAAAACACAAAGTTTTAGAGAAAACGTTCCCGCGAGACAGCATTTGCTGTCTCGGCGGCCGAGACAGTGTTTGTTGTCTCGGCCTACGAGACAGTAAATACTGTCTCGGAAAAGGAAACTGTCTGGTAGTTCTGTCTCGGAAAACCCAACTACCTAGCAGTTTCCACTGTAACTGCCTTCCCACGTTTCCAACTCCGTTATTTCGACAGTTATCCACGTGATTCTCACCCACGACGTTTCCCATGTTCTTTGACAGTTAATGGACACGTGTCGGCGGTTATACAAAACGGTTTCTGATCCTTCGAGAGCTGTCTCGCGTACGAGACAATAAACACTGTCTCGCACTGTGAGACAGTAAACACTGTCTCGCACTACGAGACAGTAAACACTGTCTCGCATGCGAGATAGTAAACACTGTCTCTCACGGCGAGACAGTAAACACTGTCTCGCGTGCCGAGATAGTCTACACTGTTCCTTATGTTCTTTTGATCTTTGGATGATCTCCTCTTGAGCTGTATTTGGATATCTTTCAGCATTTTTTGACGCCTACATCAAGCTGTGAATTTTATTGAGTAATCATGCGAGGGAATTGCTAATGCCTCTAAATTGTCTGCAGTTTCGTTCCTGCTAATTAAATATAGTATATAGTTGCTACAAGCAGAGCTCTTCTATGCCTTGAACCTGGACCTTTTCTTCCCTCTAGAGTCTTATACCAAGACTTATGTCTTCCTTGTAGCCTCATATAGGATAGTATTTGATCACATATTTGAGTTGAAAATAAGCATTTAAAGAACAAATGCTAAACAGTTTTATTATGAGCCCACAATGGTTACCGTGTGCATCATCTGTTCTCCCCCAAGCTTTAACTTTATCCTTGGTCATGAGCTTGTTGAGCATAACTGACCACAAGATTTTGTCAAATCATGCTTATGTATTAAGTTAAAAGATTTAAGACTGTACATATCAGTGTAAGTGATAATGTGCATTTATAGTACTTGATGAAATAAAATAAATTGGGTTAGAGAGATTTGAACCTTGTGAAATTTTGCATATACCTTAAAAGTCATAGATATAATGGTATATTATTATAATCATAAATACCTTGGGCTCGAATTTAAAAAAATTAATTTAACCTTTTTTACCTTCAACAAATCATCATAGGCTATATCCCTTTCGCTCATTTGTTAGAACTATAAGTAGATATAGTAGTTTAATATATTTTGTCTAGAGAGCTTTATTTTTTTTCCTTTCCTTTTTTAGTTGTTTAATAATAATTGTAATTGACTCAATTGTTATATACTAAAGATTCTGAAATTTGGAAATTCCTATTAGAGAGTAAACTTTTACTAAATGGACATTATCAAATATCTTGCAATATCTTAATTCATGTAAGAAAAAATGAGCTCAAATGTCAATTGGAATTACTATGAGGAAAGTACTAATTTCATGATACATATAAAAATTGATAATGCAATTGCTAAAGGAAATTATTAAGCTTACATGCTACAAGTCATATGATAACTTAGAGAATGATAGTTAGCCAAAACGTATTTGCGTCTATTAGCTTAATTATTCTATTGATAGACTCTATAACATAACAAATATTATAGATGTTAATGAAAGAAATGTTGGCAGACATTATAATGTAAGAAATATTATAGATGTAATGGTTTTTTGTTTAAAAAGAATGTTCTTTATAGGAGAGATTTATTTCTATATTGCTTTGTTCATTATCAATGATTCAATCAGTACTTAGGTGATCTGCTCTAATTCCCTATGCATCCATGTTTCATGTTCCTTTAACTTTGTGTTCAGAAGGTTATATGTCTTGATATGTCCTTCTTATTGTTTTAGCCTTTCCTATGACCATAAAACCATTGCGAAACAGTAAGAGACATGGGGAGCTGCTAGGAGATCAACAATTTGATGCTATTTAGTTGAGGTCAGGTCTTTGGTGAATGGAGATGTTTTTAAGCTCTATATTTTGTTGCTAAATGTTGCTAATGTTCCAATTTTTTGGTGTGAGTATGTTAGGAGTTGTTTTGATAGGTTTTTGATGTATACAGCTAGGGAATTTTATGTTTTTTTTGGTGTGATGTAATGAGAGATACTCTTCATTTTATTCTTTGGTTGGGGATTTTGATGATTATCTGTAAGTAGATTGTAATCACCCATTTTTTCAAGAATGTATTGCTCGGTTGGGGTCTTCTTTCAAGACTCAATCCTTTCTCTTAAGAAGACATGAGAAGAGCTTGACTTCATAGTGATTAACCGATGCTAGATAATTGTCTATGCTACTTGACATGTATTTTCTTGAAAACATATTGCACTTGCTGAATCAATTCTATTGTATTCTATTTTGAGTGCTGGTCATATTATTTTGTTATAGGACACAAAAGATTTAATGTTCAATCCAAGTATCTCATTCATTCAATGAGGTTATTAGTGTGATTCTTAGTTGTTATATCCAAATGTCTAAAAGATTTCAACTTATTCGTTTTGACGTCGCATAAGATCCAATGACTTTATTTTATGTCTATATATTTGATCCATTGCTTACATTCAATAATTTAATAACAAATCTTTCCTTAAATAAATTTAAAATTTTATAATAAATGATAAAAATTTTACCACGTGCATTGCACGTGCAATCCAACTAGTTTCAATAAAAGTTCCACTCTAAGACCATTTACGATAACTCCCAAACCTCCCCATCCAACGACTTAAATTGCAAAATTTATGAGCATTTTTTTTTGAAAATGAAAAGAATACTTCCATGTCAGCTGCATATTTTTTTTGAAGTAAGAAGCATATTTTTTTTTGAAGTAAGAAGCAGGGTGAGAACCCATGCTCATATATATATGTGGTTTATATATACAATAGAAACATAAAGAGGAAGAGAAAGAACCAGGAGAAGAAATTGTCGGTTAGGAGCGGACCTTGTCGTCACCAAGCAGACAAATTCTACCATGATTCCAATCTTTCCTGGGAGTAAGCCTAGCTAACTAAAAACAACAACAGAAAGAAAGATAGGGGAATTGTTGAGATATTACAAAAGATCATACCAAAAAAGCCAAAAGATAAAGTACTGGAAGAGCCACCACTTGGGAGCACCATAGTTAGCTAAGGAAATTGTCTCCCACACCATCGTCGAGTCCAGGTTTAGCCCACTCATTAAGACCAAGCTCAACCGTGACACTGTGCATGAAGGAATCTCTTTTACTACTGGAGGCACCTATCCACAAAAGAGTGTATTGAGCTATATTAGCAGCTATAATGTGAGAAGGTGTATAAAGCTTGTCGAAGATGAGCTTATTTCTGCAATTCCATAACCACCAACAACAGCAGGGGAGGATGACTTTCCATAGAGTCTTGATGTACTTGTTGAGGAAGAAATCACCTTGAGCAATGGTTAGTGAGCCAATCCCCTGTGGCCAGTAACCAGACTGACCATTTGGGATGAGGAGGGCCCAAACCGATCTGGTAAAGGAACAATCATTGAACAAGTGATCGTGGGTTTTAGTATCTGAACTGCACATGGGGCAAACCGTATCCCCTGTCCAACCCTTCTTAACTAAGACATCTCTTGTGTTTAGTTTGTGCAAACTCAGGGACCAAAAGAAGGTCTTGACCTTAAGCGGAGTAGGCGACTTCCAGATAAAATTTTGTAAGTGGGAGAATGTACCTCCTGAGTTAAGAAATGAGTAGAGAGATTTGACTGTAAACTTGCCTGAATGGTGGAGATGCCAGGTAATTTCATCTCTTTTTTTGGTCAATGAAGAAATTTTACTTCATTTCCCAAATTTGAAGTTATGTACACCTCAAAAATTCAGCACTAACAAAGCTGAAAGAAAATCACAAGTAAACAACTATTCACAAAAGGAGAAGCTTAGTTATTTACAAGTATTGGCTTTTATAAAGCTAAAAGTCATGCTTTATGTTCCGCTGAAATGGAGCTGTTGAGTGTGATTATCAATATATCCACTTTGATCTCCCTTGTTATCTGGTCAGCACTTTTGATTTCATGCTTGAAAATTCTATTGTTTCTCTCCCTCCATAAGCAATATATTGTAGCAGATAAAGCCAATCTCTTCACTTTTTGCTTAAATCCTTTCCCTCTTAGCCTGTAACTGAACCAGATCATCACCAAGTTCCAGTTGCTAGCCCTCCATTTAAACCATAGCCAGTCCATGATTTTATTCCAGACAACATTTGAAAAATTGTATTCAAAATACAAATGATTTCTGGTTTCTATAGCAGACCCGTTGCATAAACAACAATGTTCAGCTTGAATGATACCTCTCCTCACCAAACGGTCCCTTGTGAGCAGTCTGTCAAGCACAGCTAGCCATAAGATGAAGCTATGCTTTGGGTAATTCAAACTCCCCCATACTGTATTATAACATTGTACTTTGCTTGCTGAAGGGAAAATAGCAGTATAGAGTTTAGAGATTTTGACCTTTGATCCCTTGTAACATGAGCTGACATGTTGGATTAAGTTTTCAATACCTCCACAGCTGATAATAGCTTTATCCCCTAGTTTTAAGGATTTGTTTTCTCATCAATAATTCCTGGTAATTTCATCTCTGATGGCTACTTCTGGTGATTTGGCAGCCTCAAGCTTACGATATAGCTGCTCAATCTGGTTTTTGTCATCATCAGAGTTACCTCTTCTGATAATGGGGTGCCACTTCTAGGAATTATTGATGAGAAGGCCTTGACAATTGGTGGTTGTGGAACTGGCAAAAGCAAGTTGATGCACTCTTGGTAACAGACTACTGAGGGTGTTGTCCCCCAACCATTTATCTTGCCAAAATCTATAAAGTTTACCATCCCCCAATTTCTATCGAACCAAGTGAAAGAAAGGGTCATGAATAGAGAATAAGTCCTTAATCAGTTTAGAAGCTGAAGATCTAGGAGGGTTAGTTATAGGGTTAGAGCCATTAACAGAATAAATAGACATGATCACTTTACCAATATAGGATTCTATGTCAAGGATCTTCCAAATCCATTTAGATAACAAAGCTAAGTTAAAGGGCTGTAGATTAAAGACACCTACTCGATCTTCATCCTTACCTTTACAAACAATACCTCATTTCACCAAACTTTTAGATTTTGAAGATTGTTGGTAGGAACCCCAAAGAAAGTTTCGTCTAATTTTGTCCATAACCTTGAGGAGCTAACTATGGAGTTTAAAATATGACATATAGTATAACGGGAGAGAGGATAGAACTGAATTCACCAAGGTGAGTCTATCCCCTATGGAAAGGGACATGTTTTTCTATAATGCCAACTTTCTCGAAAAAGAATCTAGAAGAGGTTGTCATTCCCTTCTAGACAATGAACCTTTTTTGAGGGGGAGACCAAGATAAATGAATGGAAGAGAACTGTTAATGCAGTTGAGTTTATTAGCCAAATGGACACATCTGCTATGAACTTTTCCAACATAGAAGAGGGTGGATTTAGATGGATTAATGTGGAGACCAGAGATGTTTCCAAACATGAACAAGATAGATTTGAGGGTAAAAATATCTCTATTGTCAAGTTGCAGAAAATGAGGGTGTCATCAGCAAATTGGAGAGACCTGATAGAGTTCAGCTCTCCTTTAAGATTAAGATATGAAAGATCACCAGCTATGAAGCTGGTTGTGATCATCTTATTGAGCACATCCACCACCAATAGAAAAAGCATAGGCGAGAGGGGCTCTCCTTGTTTGAGACCACAGTGACATTGAAAAAAGGAAGAAGGAGAACAATTAGCAAGGACTGCAGATTTAGAGGAGGAAATGATGTGGGAGATCCAGTGACACCATCTAGAGCTGAATCCTCTGGCTTTGAGGAGAGATAAGAGAAAATTCCAATTAACACAATCAAAGGCTTTGAAGAAGTCCACTTTAATTGTGCAAAGTTCATTTTTCCCTGAAGAGCATATGTTGATCATTTCGTGGGC